TTTATATTTTATAAAAGTATATAGTAAGGTTACTATTATACTTAAGAAGTTTTTTTAAATAAGGTTTATACTAAAAAAGCGCTTTTCTTTATAAAAAAGTTCTTATATAAATAACTTATTTAGTCTTACTTCTAAAGTTAGTAGTATAAAAAGTCTAATAAGTATAAACTTAAATTAGGAATCTTTTTAGCTATTTACTAGTCTTATTATAAGTTTTAAGTAAGTTAAGTTTAAGCTTATTATATTTATTAACTAAAGTAGTAATAATATTTACTATACCCTTAAAAGTAGTTACTTCTTTATTTAGTTTTATAGCTTTAGCTATTTTATTTTTTAGCTAAGTAATAGTATTATAAACTATATTTTATAGCTAGCTAACTTTAAAGGTTTTAGTATTTAGTTTTTTACTAATATTATTAATTATAGCTTATATTTAAGCTATATTATTATTATTATATTTAATATACTACTAGATCTTATTATATATACCTTAAGTAAAGTCTAGCTTATTATTTAACTTTTTAGTGTCTTTTATTTTCTTATTTAGGCTTTTAGCTAGAGTAGTTAGGTTTTTTTTAAAGCTAGAGGAAGTTAAAGTTATCTTAAGTGTAAATATTATAAAATACTATTAAGTAAGTATTAAAGTTAACTTACTTAATAAAAGTAATTAAAGTGTTATAGCTAGTTTTTAAATAGTAAGGTTTCTACTAATAGTAAATAAAAGTTAGTACTTAGTTAATAGTATTTCTTTTTTTTATTATTTTTATTAATTACTTAGTAATTAGTTAAGGCTTAAGGTTATCAGGTAGCTTATATAGCTTTTTATTAATTAAATTACTAAGGTTAGATACTAAAAGGTATTTAGAAAATATATTATAAGTTAATTACTAAAGAGCTATAGGAGTCTATTCTTAAGTACGTCTAAGTTTATCCTATATATAAGTCCTAACTATTTCCTAAATAGTTCTTTTAACTAATAGTTATAAGTAATTACTATCCTTATATAAGGTAAGCACTTAGTAAATACTAGTAAGCACTTACTTTTATAATTACTAGTAATTACCTTATTTTATAATTACTTCTTTATCTCTATATAACTTATACTATAGTTCTTCTGTTCTAAAGAGTTATCTGTCTGTTCCTTATTTCTTGTCTATATAAATGCTGCTGCTGCCTACTATCTGTCTGTTAGGTAGGGCAACATAGCCTGTAACTTATTAGGTCGTAACATCCTCTTTCTAGGCTTCTATCTTTCTCTCTCTAAGTAAGTAATAGTTAGTAAAATAATAATAAGACTAACTATTATACTCTCTTTATATTAATATCCTTATATTTATTTATTATCTCTACCCTTATTATATCTTATATTCTTACTTCTATAAGATATATATTTATATAAGAGAAATACTCTCTTATATTCTCTTTAGCTAGAATCCTCTATCTAAGAGACTAGCTTACCTATTATGTAAATATAATCTTAAGTCCTACGCGCTCTATACCTCCTATAGGCTCTTTTATATACGCTAGCAGAAGCTTAAGGTTAATACTAGTGTCTGTTATCTACTGTTTAAAGGCAGTTTTACCTTTTATACTAATAACTGCTTTTTTATTATTTATTTATATCTTATAAATCACTAGGCCGTATTAACGTTACACCTAGATTTTAAACGTATAAATAACCTTAAAGACCCTGTTTACTGTCTTATTCCTAAAGGGAAAGCTAAAGAGTCTTATAGAGTACTTATCTTTAATAATAAGCAGCTAGGTATAGCCTCTAAATAAGGCTAGAAAGTTAAATAGGTCTTAGAAAATCCGATAGTACGGTCTTATTGCTTAGTCTTCTAAGGGCGTCCTAGAAATAACCTTCTGTATATATATTACGGCACAGTGCTTGTATTAGACCCTTAAAAGGCCTTTAATCTTTACCCCCTAAGCGCTATAGACTAAGTGCTAAAAGACTTTAGGGCCAAGGTGGCCTGCTTAAAGGTGCTAGAGGTCGGCGTTATTATTCCTTGATGTAATGAATCGGGTGGTGTGCCAATTCAGCCAATAGACCAAAAGATCCGCCAGTTCTAGCACTACGTGTCAGAACTGCACCACACATGACCTTATAAGGCGTCCTATTGCCGACCCTTTGGCGATATCCTTACACTTATTACTAGACCTCTCTAATAATTAGGCTTTTAATATAGCAACATATTAAACTGGGTTATTATTATAAGGCCTCTAGAGCTTACTTATATTAGTAGGCAGATAGGAGAGTAAGGGGAAATAGGCTTATATTTAAGGAAGGTAAGATTCTTCTTTCTAACCAGTTAGGCAATCACTATACTGCTTAAAAGCTTACTGTAGTGTAGGGTGGCGTCTAGTCTGTAATACCAGACGCCGCTTCCTATAAGGCAAGCCTTAGATATAATATTAACGTAAAAGCCTTTAATAACAGTAACGTTTTTCAGCTTAAGATCTTTAGTGTTACGTCCTTTTTTTCTATAAAGGGTATTCTTAATAACTGTTATGCCTACACCTAAAATATAAATATAAGTGGTGCTGGCTTTAATAAATTCTCCTTTAGTGTAAGGCTTATAAGATCCTTTAATAAGGAGTTCCTTATTATTTACAAGGTGGTAACTGCTAAATAATATATAGGGTTATCTAAAGGGCGTACAGAATATAGTAAGGAATCTAAGTAAGCTTACGTCTTCTTTTACTTAGCTATAGATAGTTACTATAATAACCTAACCAGGATACTCTACAGTAGGGTCCTACGCTTATAAAGAGCTTTATTGTTTATATTCTTTACAGCCTCACCCGTTTAAGCGGCCACAGTTAGCGTTACCTATAAGCCAGCCAAGCTCCTAGTACTTTCCCTAAAGGTAGTTAAAAGCTAAGGATATAACTTAATCTTTAATACATACAGCTTCCTTATTAGTAAGCTTCTTTATATAGATTAACTCCCCTGTAAGCGCTTTCTAGACCTTACCGCACTTATATAGATACTAACAGTACTTTACCCTATATAAACACTCCTTTTTAGTTATATTCCTGTTTTCTAGTTTGTCTAAACGGCCACTAAGGGTTGTAAAGAGGCTAGGACCCTTACTATTACCCCTAAAAAGCGCGTCCTCCTAACAGAACACTCTAAATATCCTTCTGTATTCGTCTAGAGATAGGATTAGGCGGTTAAGACTCTTATCCCTAATTAGCTTGTTTAGGTTCTAAGCGGCCTACGTTAGAGCAAGCCTAGTTCTAACAGCTCTTAGGAAGCTCTTTACTGCCAGGACTCCTTAGACCTCAGGTATATTATATACGCAAGCACAGCCGTAAGTCTGGTGCCAGTCTGCATGCCAGGTCATTAGAGCCACATTACCTTAAGACGCTTTTAAAAGGACGTTATTATACTTTTTACAGGCTGCTAAAGTCGTTATAAAGGCTAAACGTGCCAGGTTTTGCTACAGAATTCGCATAAGTGCCTACACAGTCATCTTGTTCTTATAAAGCTGCTCTATTTAGGCGTTTAAAAGCTCCTATAGGTTAACTGTATAAAGGATAAACGCTTCTATAAATTAATAACTGGCCAAGACCGTTATTCTGGTCTGGCTCTAACTAGTGTAGTCTCTAACCAGTCGTTTATAGTTGTCTTTAATATTGTTAAACTTTACAGAAGCAGGCTTCTTAGGTATAGATGCTTTTATAAGTTACTCTTCAGGCGTTAAAGGCATAAGGTTGACGTCTATATACAGGTTTTCCTTCTGCCACTTTATAAGATGCTTATAGTAATCGGCTTCAAGTTTAACTGTATATTCAGCAATAAGTTTAGAGGAGTCTGGTCCTTTAAGAGGGTGTATATTATCTTTAGAAACGTCCTTCCTATCTGGATCTATAAGCTCCCAGACGTAGGCTGTCTTTACGCATACTTAAAGGGCGATGTACCACACAGGCCAATCTGCTTGTATGTTAAGGTGCTGCCTATCGTCAGGCACGCTAGGTTAGGCAACCGCAGACATTATTAATAGCCGGTCGCTTTAGTTAAAGGCGAATAGTAAAGACACTTCTACGCTCCTCCACCTAAGAAGGGGTCTCGTATAGAGCTAGGCTTATAACTATTGCAGGCAAGGAGCGTAGTTTTTACCCTTTATAGTGAGAAGTGCTTAATTAAGGCCAAGAGTAACCGTGGTAGCCGGTCTCTAGATAAATACAGAGAAGACCGCTTAGTAATAGCGTTGGTATAAGCACTGCGGCCACCAGCCACTGTTACCCCAGCCACAGAGGCTGTGCAGGACCTCCTGCGACATATCCTTAATATTATTAGGAATTATTCTAATAATAGGCTCTTTAAATACTATATTTTTATCTACTTAAGATGCTAAGGTCCCTTTAGATACCTTACTTAGAAGCTATTCTATATAGGTATATAGTATTCTTAATACTTCTACAGTGTACAACACTTCCTTCATAAGGTAATATATATTTGTAGAAAGACGTAGTAGAGAGTTAAGAATAAATCAAGCCCTTTTTAAGGACTTTTTTTTTACTAAGCTTATATTATCACTAGCTATTATCTCCAGGGAGCAAGATCTTATCAGCATCATTTTAGGCAGCTAATATAAGTAACAATTAAGTAGAGTTATAGTGCCTATTAGTATATAGAGTATATGTTGATGAGAAATTTGCTGACGTGGCAAGTTGATCATTTTGAGGAAAAGTATCAGGCGACAGCTTGGCAGACAGCAATCATGTGCATATTGGTCTATTGCCTGCTAAGCGAGTAATGTGTTGTTTTTTGACACGTATTTCTAACCTTGAACAATAAACAGAACAAGGTTTCAAGGCCACAATGCCGATATCCCTTATTTCAATAGGGAATTAAGCATGGGTTGAATGCACGACGCGGATATGCAATGTCCAGGTCTGACACATTTTTTGATGGTGCAAAAGTGGGCGTGCTGCAAATATAGGGTGGGGTAGTTATACTCTAAGCACGGGTTCCATTGATTTCCCCGTCACCAAATACCTGGAATCAGCCGCCATGGGACTCTTCGGCAGTATTCGTCCCAAGATAAACCATATTTTGCCAGACATCGCTCCTCGTCTCTCAAACATCTATGGAGCAGCAATCCGGTCATGAAGATGGCGTAAAACCAAACCAGCAGCGTAGTCGTACCAACCACAGCGCACATGGAGAAACTCAATAAAATATCTCCAGTGTAATTCGCGTGGCGTGAAACACCCCACCAGCCGTTGCAAAGGAGGAGACTTTTGTGCAGCGTCCCATCCGAGGTCCTGTAGGGCGCGATGATGAACCGCGCGGGCTTCCCCCAAATTAGGCAGTTTCCATTGGTTCTTCGACATAAATCCTTCTGAGCGTTTACGCGACGGAAGATATAGTATCCCAAAAGACCCAATGAGAGAGTGACGGCCATGTAGGCTGGCGAGGGTCTCGTCGGATACCGCCCCAGATATTGGGCCTGAAGCGTATACATGGCCGGAAGCCACGTAAAACAGCCCCAGGCCAAGTAAAAACCATAATGATCATGAGTGATGTCTATCGTCCGGAGGTACCAAGATTCGTTTGCAAAAAAGTCAACAACGTAAATGCTATGGAGAATCGTGACAAGGACGAGGCTCGCTGATAAAGTTCCGTTGCGATATTGTAAAGCAAGGTTGGAAATATCTCTTTGGCTTGGTCAGTAAAATTTCCGTTCCACTTAGTTGTCTGATCTTCCACGCACATCAGAGTCCAAGTCATCATGCCTGCTCGTCCATTGGTGAAGAGCTTCAGGTCGAAGTCCTCGCCGAGCCTTGGGTTGAGCTCAATTCCCATGTAAAAATCATAGGCAGTAGAGTCTTTCATCATTTAGCATTGCATCTCTCAAAAGGCTCACTGAGGCCACTGGTAGTGAGGAATGCGTTACCTGTAAACTTGCGATCACCGGGATGAGTCGGCGCAACATGTGCTTTAACAAAAGCCATCGCTGATGCAAGGAACCCAAACAGATTCATTGCGACGAACCACCCAGACCAGTCTTCCGCCACAAGCGCCAAGTCAATTACTCCTGCCACCAATAGTACAGAAAGCAACGAGTAGGTGAGAATCCAAGCACGAAGCCCGTTTACTCGGTAGCTGAGAAGGTGTCCTGCTGGAGTTTGTTGTCCTTGATGATTCGGCCCCGGCAGGCCAACATACAGGATTGCTTGGAGCACAATCCAGCAGGTGTAAGCCATCAGAGTTTTCAAGCTCCATCGCGGTCCGTATGTATACAAGACCGGCAGAATCCCTTGCTCTCGGTACGCTGTAAGGACCATCGCCAGCGAACCATTGAAGTGGCGAAGAGAAATCTCAAACGACACTGCTGCCAATGGACCGAGCCAGAGTGGTGTTGCTGATAGGAAAGATCGCAGCCATGGTCGATTGCTGCCGGATCGCCCCCAGGTCGTAACTTTGCTCGGTTGCAAGGCGTCAGAAGGCAGACCGGAGAAGGAAGCTTTCTCGTGCCGTTTCTGAGCTGCTGTATTCCGAAGCGACGTCTGTATAACTTTCGGGCCTTCTTGGATGCTCATCTTTGCGTAATATTTGGTCGTTGAAGAGAACGCGTTATAGTGTGTACGGTAGTTAGTAGAGCTTGATCTTGAGGTCATGTACACTGGTTATACTCGATACTCTGTCTTTGAACGATGGGAGTTTATTGAATTCTATTAAAACCTGAGGAATCAAATCGTGTATCGTTTAAGGTTCATTCTACAGGGAAGCAGCAAGTAAGCTTTGACAAATTAAATTACCAGTGTGCCAGGGTTCGCTGTAGAGTGGGATGACTAGGGTGAAATTAGCCCTGTTCTCTAATCTACTGTACATACTACGTAGTTCGTATTAAGAAATCCTACTTTATGCAATCAGTCGCCATTTAACATTTTCCCAGCCATTTCTCTGTCGAAATGTCACCTTGGCAGGTTGCTTCGGTTTCGGCACGCTCTGCCCGGTCAGGTTAGCATAACCGCATTGGGGTATCGTGTCGACATCAAGACCCATCACTTCAAACCCGACAGCTAATGCCGCAAGGAATGTGATGTTCTCGGCGAAGGCAAAGTTCCGACCAGGACAGAGATGTTTGCCGCCACCAAACGGCCAGAACGCCTTTCTCTGCGCTAAGGGTTCCGAAAATATGACTTCTCCCGGATTACTATTTTCGGATACACGGCGGAGCGACCGTTCCGGGTTGAAGTCTTCGGGATCATGCGATCCCCAAGTCTCCTCCATTCGATGCGCAACCGCCGAGGGCATATGAACTAACGCTCCAGCTTTCAGGAGCGTACCGTCGGGCAGGGTGATGTCCTCATCTACGAAACGCGTTCCGGTCACCGAGTCGCAGAGCCGCATGACCTCGTGGTTCACGGCCGCCACGTAAGGGCAGAGGTTGCGATCCGTCAGCTGGGAGGCGCACAGGGTGGCCGTCCCATCGGTGACCTCGACCAGGTTTTCGACCTCCGCACGCAGATTAGCAAGAACTTTGGGCCTGGAAAAGATATTGACGACCATCCAAAAGAGAATTGGCGCGGTATTTGCGACGGCAGCGTTGATCATGCCGATTTCCATATTACCAACGTCAACGTCAGTCATTCCGTACATCCTCAGAAGACGTGCGCGCATGCGCGTGAGTTCTGCAGCGTCGTCTGGGAAGCTCGAATCATCCGGATATTTTTGGAAGTATTCGATGAGAACTTCTTGCAAACGACCGCGGGCTTTGTGGCCTGCTGGTGCAGTGAGTTTGGGGGCGATGTTGAAGAAGAGGGTGAACATCGCCTCGTCGAAAGTCCTTGCATGGTGTTCAGTCAGTTTCCCAATATCGTTACGACGAAATAAATGAAGACTTCACATACCAAACGTCCTGTACAAGCTCAGTTTTAATGCGTACCGGATTCGTTTTGGTGCCATAGAGCCCGTCAGTGGTAGCCAGGACGAGCCTGTCACGTAGGAAACGGTAGAGATCTATCGGCCCCTTTCCAGCCTTACAGCTAGAAGCAGCAAGCTCGTTGAGATCTGCTGATAAAGTCTTAAGTGCCGTTGACGTCATGTTGCGCAACGGTTCCGGTCCTACCGCCAGTGGCATGTTGCGGTAAAAGTCCTGAAGCAGATTGCTATGCTCGAGTAGATACTTGCCCCGGGCACTGAGACCAACCACACCGGTGGCGGCCTGGACATTGAACCGCTCTGATGTGAGGTATCTGTTTCGAAAAGCTGCCTGGACAATGGAAGGTGACAAGAGAACGTATAACTTCTGGCCCAAGATATTCAGCGTCACAGCGTGGGTTTTGGTGCCCAAACGACGATAGATATCCACGTAGTAGCCGCCTCCATCGCGCCACATTCGCACTATATGGCCGATGATTGGAATCCTTGATTTGAAGAGTGGTGGCTCGCGAGGATCCAACACCAAGTTTGATTTCTGTTGTATCCAGAGGAAAATAGCGAGTAGGAGGGCGACGCCTGAGCCGACGGCATATGTTATTGGAGACAATCCAAGGAAGTCTGGGAAGCTGGGTGCCATGGTGCCGAAACGAGGCATTGGTGATGCGTTCGCACAATACCCTTGAAATGTTGACCCGAGAGGAACGACTCGTCCGATGGACATACAACACTGTTGATTTCTAGCGCCAAGTCCGTAATAGGTACAGCCACATGGGGAACTACACACGTGTTGTCATAAGCGATATAAGGTATTAATTAATGGCTGTAATCTATGGTGTCGATTTTGCAACAGATATAAGCCTGGTTATTTACATCTGTTATTGAGTTACATTTATTGGCAGTGAAACACTAGGTACTTTACACCCTATAGATTTAATCTCTACACACCGGATAAGTCGGATGGTAATTTCCTGACTTTGGCGGTACCAAATTAAAACTGACTTTCTGGTGGTTTATCAGGGTGGCCAGCGGAGTATGCCCCATAAGCAAGCAAAAGAAAGTTTTTTATGTGTTCGTACCAAAGACTCGTAAGGTTACATCAGGCTTTGAGGGGCTAATGCTACCTCAATAGCTCTTACAGAGCTAGGTGTGGGCTGTGTCGATGGTTCGCATGGAAGCATATATGGATTCTGCCACTTTCCCTATCGTGGAAGTTCAGTGAGTTCGCGAAACTTTCCGCACCAAGACCTTGGCCATGGGGTCAGCAGCCAGTGTGAGCCCAATCTCCAACGGCTGGGTCTTCTGGGACGACGGTGCAATCTTCCACTCGTAATGTAGCAGCAAATGACTCAGGGCCACCTTGACCTCTTGTGCAACAAAGAACCGCCCTGCGCAGGCGTGCTTGCCATACCCCCATGCCAAGTGTTCGGGGCTCGAATTCGTGAGGCTTACGTCCTTGCTGCCCCCTGCCTCGCCTATTTGATAGAAACGATGTGGGTTCCAGACGGCCGGATTCTCGTAGTGACTGTCGCTCCACATCTGGTCCACTGAAACACCGATGATGGCATCTTTAGGGAGAAGAGTTCCGTCCGAAAGCTGCACATCGTCTAACACGAGGCGATGCATAGAAGCTAGTCAATAGCGTCAGTGACCTGGATGCATCCAAGAGGAAAGGGGAGTTGTGGGTTAATACTTACTGCGGGCTATTGGCTTGAGCCGTTGGCTTTCTTTGACAGCGGCGTCAACGAGACGCATTCTGGCGAGTGAAGACTTTGACCAGCCATATTGACGTACCGACTCGGCTACCTCCCTTCGTAAAGCATCGGTGATGTCTGGATTCAAGGCTATGTCCAACATGGTTTGTGTGAGGAGATCGGTTGTGGTGTGAATCGCTGCTTGCATCAGGATGAGCTGTCCGACCACTGGGTCGTAATTGCTATCATCTTCTTTCTCGTCCTGTGCAAACCACTCAATGACATCGTTATACACGGGTTGAGAGCGACCTTCAGTCTCCGCGGTCGCCTTTTCTTGTCGTCGTTTGTCGATGATGCCGGTGACTATTTGTCGTGCATTGACGACTTGCTTCCTAAGTGTGCGACACTGTGGCAAAACCCAATGAACAAAAGGTCGGAGGGTTTCTGGCCACATGCGTAGAAGCATTGCTGCAATGTAAGCGTTTGTGGTGTAATCCATTGTTATCTTGAGCCAGGCCTTGTTGCGGGCGCCCTCATTCCCCAGGAAGACGTGCGACGACATGCGCGCGATGACCTGGAGCACATGCTCTCTGAGATTGATCTCATGCCAGTCTGGAAAGGTCTGGGTCAGTTCCATGAGTCGTGTGACTTATGAATTGTAACTATCACCTGTCGATTCGGTCAAAACGTCATGGAGAGCGGCGAGACACTCGCTGGAGACAGAAGCGGTTACCTCATCTGCAAAAGTAGAGTCAGCACGGTAATCGTCTTCTGAATGTTCGATGCCTTGACCACCTTGCTTACCTGGGCAGTTGGTCAGATGTCTCCTCACAACATCTCTGATGCGATGCGCGTCTGGCGTCCCCTCTCGAAAACCTTCAAAACCTGGAAATTTCGCGTGGAAGGTCTGATAGGCAACGCGTCAGCTTAGTTTCATGTGAATATAGGTAAAAGCGGTTTATTACCCGGTTGATGACTGCTGCAAAGTCCAGTCGAGGATCAGCCCGTAGCTCGCGTGCAAACTTGCTCGGGAGCACAGTGAGCTCGCCAATGTCTGTCATCAGCCGAAAAGGTTTGCCGGTTTCGATCCCTTTGGTTAACCATCGGCGGGAATTGAGCGCAAAGGCAAGCTTGACCCTGGTGGACGTTGGTTCAAACCATTTAGGTGGGTTGATGAGAGGAATCGTTTGGTCGCGTTTTGTGCGTAGGAATGACTGAGTGATGAGAAAACCTAGGAGCGCGATCGCGAGTCCGAAAACGCGATGCTGGACCATCAGGTCAAGAAACTGTTCCATGGTCAATAGCGAGTGGAATGAACGGCGAGAGATAAAGCATGAGACATATGAGAAACAGGATGGCACCGTGTGTCTGGGAAAACTAACCGAACGTACGGAATTGGGACTGAGCTCGTAACGGCCGTACCGGGATTTGGCCTTACATAATTATAATTCACTCCTTGTTTGAATTCATTAGATTTCTTATCACAGTTTCGGAAGTACGCGAGTCTTCATACTCCATATTGTGTTAACGTGTGATTCTATAGAAGATTATAGTATCTACTCCTTACATGCAGTCTACTCTAAACTGCTTGAGTAAACTTCCACCTCCGACAATTAGCAGCAGCCCGCCGTGACACCCGTACCAGCAGATCCGAGCTTGGCTTTTTGACAGAAAGCATAGCATTTCGCTCCTGTTCAGGAATCCTCGAGGCATTCGGCAACAAATCAACCTCAAAAGTATGCACAAACATAGCAGTGAAAGTTAGCAGCTCATCCAATGCCAGATGCCTGCCTGGGCACATGGAGCCGCCGCCCCCGAAGACTCGGTTCGCCGCTGGGTGCACTTTCTCCTGTCTAAGAAATCTTTCTGGGTCAAGCTCGTTGGCTGACGTGCCCCATATGGCCGTGTTGGAATGTATCGCCGTGGCTGCTATCTGTATGATAGCACCCTTCTTGAGCACAAGTCCATCGTCCAGGTGAATGTCGTCGTTTACTAGAAAAGTGCCGATGGAGGAGCTGATACAGCGAAGGACTTCCCGACATGTAGAAACTAGCACCTGGCACTGCGATCTAAGAGAAGCGGCTTCGACGGTTATCTCCTCTGAGCCAATGGTGGTGACGACCTGCTGGACCTCAGACCTAATCCTGTCCGCTAAGCCTTTATTTGCTGCCAAGAGACTGACAATCCAAAACACAGCCGGAACTGAGTTGATCAAGAACCCAGTGAAGAAGCCAAGAGTGTATCTCGCCTTAAACTCCACGCTCGTGTTATGACGCTGAGTTAGGTTAGAGAACTTTTGGCTCAGTACGATGGAACCACGACCAAGACCAACTGGGCCTTTGGGGTCTTTGTCATCTATGAAAGCTTGAACCAATCGCTCACGAGCCATCACGGCCTCGCGCGCCGTAAACGACTGGTATGGCAACATCGTGAGCTTTTTGAGGCCGCTCTCCATAGTCCTTGTCGAAAAATTAGACTCCAGGAATTATGAGGAGGGCTTGTTTCTGGACGATTACTCACCACAAGCAACTGACCAAGTCTTCAGAGCGGTCGACTGGGTTGCCGTGACCGAACACCCCTCTGCCTGTTGCCAGGGTAAACGTCCTCTGCAGCCAGTCTAGAAGGTTCACTTTCTCAGGACCTCGTGAAGCAGTGTCATTCAGTATGTCAGCGAGTTCCCGGGAAATATTCCCGTGGATTTCCGCCATGGACTCCGTTCCGGCTTCCAAAGCAGCGTGCTCCATCGCTCTGAGATCATGCCGCAGAGAGTTTTTGGCGGTGGCATTTCGCATCAAGCCGTTCAAGTCCTCGCCATGCATGCCAAAGAACTTTCCGCAGACGACAGAGAGAAATGGCAAAGTTGCATCGATTTTCTTTCCTTGTCGGTTTATCTGGTTAATGAGTTCTGGCGAATTCACGACGTACACCTTTTGTGTGCCGAGAAACGTCGTTAAGATTGGAAGATTGGTCTGTTTCCTATTGTGACTAGTGTCAGCAATTCATTCAATACAGATCTGGAAAAGTTATGATACGCACCTTAAATTCTCGTAGTATGACACGCCTTGGGTGAATAACTTCAACGCTTGGCCCAAGATTGGTAGTTTCGATCTTACCGCTGGTGGTTCTTGAACGCTGACTCTGCACAGGACAGCCTCAAGACATCGCAGCGCCACCCAGACCAGCAGACTCCATGTGGCAACACGGGAGAACACTTTGAGGGTGCTCAGAAGACTATCTGTCAGAATTACCATCTCCATATAATGCTTGAAACTGATGCACGCCTTTCGCAAACCAAGAGGTAGATGGGTCTGGATGTGCTGCAAGAACGGCTGTCGTGCGAAGCACCAAACACCATTGAGATCACGGGTCATTGATTTGTGCGCTGCCTGGAATAAAGTCGATACCACCCCTGTATCGACTCCTCTGTCGGGCAATGTCCCTCATCATATCGAATTCATTACGACACTAATTCCACCTTGGTCCATTAAATTTGTGAGGCGAATACGACATAGCCTCAATGGGAGTGGACAGTCAGACCTGAGCAGATACCAAAAAAGCTAAATAGATTGATTCCTTTAAACTTTGCCGTGCACCGCTCGTATTCAGCCCTCGCAATCGAAGACGCCAACATAAAGTTTCATTGTTGCTATATGCAGCAAATTAATAGTCTCGCCCGGTTGTAGCTTGATTGCATAGAAATCCAAGGATCTTCAGACACCATTGGCAACATGGAGTGTTGATCGTTGCATGTGCCAAAGAAAGACATCCATGTACGCAACTCAATAACCTTTGCGGCGAACCCAAGCAACCTGACTGTCGGCCAAGACTGTGGATATCCCCACCGGCCCCTGGCTTTCCAGATTGAAACCCTGGTGTCCCATTCAACTCACGATAAATTCGAGCGATCAGACAAGCTGATAATGCCCCCCCCCTTGACAACCCGAGAGTACCGTGCGCGCTGGCCCGTGCAGGCTTGACCTGACAATAGATATAGATAATAAGGCTTTGTCTAATAGATAGGTAGGTACATAAAAAAAAAATATAGGTTATACTCTATAGAAACGTTTCTAGACTAATTAGGAACTAGTGTGTAAATATTTTTCTATAGCGTATACACTAGAAACGTTTTTAAACTAATAACTATCTAGATAAATAATTTTCCTTATTCTAGTAGTGTAATTATACTACTAGTTAATAGTTATAATATTATTAAGATAGGAATTCTAGTATAAATAGGCTAGAAACGTTTCTAGAATATTTCTAGATATAATAAGAATAATTTAAGAAATATTTCTAATTTTTTAGTATTAAGAACGTTTTAGAAACGTTTTAGAAACGTTCCTACTAATCCTATTAGTATAATAGTAAGTTTACTATAGCTAAATATAGTAGACCTAATAGATATTAAAGAGACTACATTATTCCTAACACTATATATCCTAGAAAATAAGTTCTATAATCTAGGAGAGAGTTAAGATATTATTAGTAATAATATTACGTTTTTTATATATTTAAGTTTATAATAAGAGATAAATCCTATCTAGTAGGATATTATTTATTAAGTAAAATATTATTTTCTTATTAGAAGTGTATTAAAAGAACTAAGAAAAAATAATAGATAATAGAACTATAAGATATTAAGCCTATTCTTATCTTAAATATAAAGCTTATAAATAAGAGATTATATCCTAATAGAAATATTCTTATAGTTAGATAGATTTATTATCCTATAGGAATCCTAGAGATACTAAATATAGTTAGATATTAATTACCCTTATAAGTGTGTAACTATTTAATTATAGTAATAAAACAGGTGACCTACGTACTCTTTTGTACGGTCGCATTTCTTAGTAGTTATAAGCCTAGCTTCTAGTTAATCTTAATTAACTAAGTTTAATATATAGTTATAATATATATAATAGAGGGTCTTTACTTAGGAATCTAGGGTTTCTACCTTATATAACGTGTCTAAGGCCTATAAGCTTTATAAGCCCTTAAGGGGGTAAGTTAGATATTAATTACCCTTATAAGTATATAACTATTTAATTATAGTAATAAAACAGGTGACCTACATACTCTTTTATATAGTTATATTTCTTAGTAATATATTAAAGACTAGTATTATATTTATTATTCTAATAAAGTTACTATTATAAGAAGCAGTTAATACACTATAGGATACTATATGTTTTACTATCTTTTAGATAAATAACTTACTAATTTAGTTATAGATTTAGTATAATATAAAATAAAAGGCGGCTTTATTTCTAACTATATATATAGCTCTTAAGGATACACTAGTTATATATTACACCTATATCTATACTAGTAGTAAAGTATACCTATACACTCCTATTATAGACTTCTATTACTTTAGCCTTACTTTAGAGTTAGCTAAGTAAATAGAAGCTATACAGACTAAAGTAAAAGAATTTACTATTAAGAAAAGAATACTAGCGTAAGTAAGAAGATCTTTAGAACGTTTCTAATTAGTTTTAAGTAAAAACTAAAAGATAAGTAGGATAATATATAAAATACATACTAGATTTTAAAAAGGTCTTATATATAATACTTAGATTAAAACCTATAAGCCTAAGCTAAAGGAATTAAACTATAGTGTAAGAGTTATCTCTTATGTTAAGAGATAAACTAATATAGGTTAGTATCTTATTAGTATTTTATAATAGGTTATTTACTATATAAACTTATATACCTAGAAAGACTATACTAATTATTTCTAGCTTATAATTCCTACTAAATAGATAAGTCTTATAGACTATATTTATAGTAGACTTAATAGCACTAATAATAAGCTAGTAGAGAAAGAAGAGCAAAAGTGCTTCTTTTTTATAAGTAATAAATAAAAGAGGCTAATATATAGTATAATATATTTTATATATACTACAAGAGAATTAACTAATTCTTTTTAATAAATAAGGTACACTATAAAGAACTACTATAACTATAAAAGATAAAGTAAAAGGTTAAAATAAGGTTTTTTATCCTAAAAGATCTCTAAATAACACTATATATCCTTTTTACCTCTTATAGCTAGCACTTATATCCCCCCCTACTAGCTACTAAAACGCCTAGGTTTATTATAGATAGACTTATAAGAGTAGTTAGGCGTATTAATAAACTAAAAATAAGCCTAAGTAAGAATATAAGAAAAACCTTAGAAAATCTTTACTAATATATTTCTAGATATATTTTTTTACTCTAATAAACTAAAATAGTTTATTTTAAAATATAAGGGAAAGTTAATTATAGATATACATAAGAGCCTTATAAATATAGACTATCTTTAGTATATTATTTAAAAGTAATAAATCCTCTTATTTCCTAAAGGGATATAGGTAATTACTATTACACTATAGTAAACTAAAGAATAAAACTAGTAGATATATATAAAAGTATTTTATTATTTTAATAATTATTATATACTAATAGAAATTTATTAAAAGTATATATAGTATTCTTATTAATTATATAGTAACTATATAGTTATCTACTTTTTTAAAGAATAGGTAAAGTAATAGATATTTACTAATATAAAAGTATTTATAGTTAATACTAACTATAAACATATAAGAGGTGCACACTATTACGAAATTATTTAGGCGTAGTATAGTTATAAATTAAAGAAAGGTAGGGATATAAAGATAATTTATTTAAGAAACGTTCCTAACACCTTCTAGTACTTCTACTTACTTAATGCTTTACTAATTTAGAAACTATAGATATATATTACTATATGTTTTACGTAGTTTTTAATATACTTAAGTAAAAATATATAGTTAAGGTTAAGTAGAAGTATATTTATAGTAGAGGACTTCTTAGGGTAACACTAGACTAAGGCCTTAGTGTAATCTAGGGCTTTAGATAATACCTATAGGGTAAGTTCTGTCTATAGGAAACATAGGAAATATAAGTCTAAAACACTATAACTATAACTTTACTATATTTATTTTTAACGTAGCGTAGAGACTCTCCTAGGTAAGATTTATTTATATAAAGAAGATTCTACTTATAATCTTCTAATATTACTACTACGCTATTAGTTATCTAGAGATTATAATAAGCTCTATAAAGTAATTATATATAAGATATTCTAGAAACGTTTATAGATTATTTCCTATTACTTACTATACTTATAGATAGATAGCTATAATATAGTAACTAGGTAAAACATAAAAAAGGTTTTATTATTATAATAGGATTTTATTAAGTTATCTTAAATATTCCTATTAAGGACTAGAATTTAATACCTAACTATATAAATACTATTAAAATCCTTTATATAATTTTATACCTTTAGAGTAGACGTTTTCTCTTAATTATAGAAGTAATAGAGGAGTAAGTGCTATAGTATAATTATTATAGTGCTTTAGTTTAGTAGTCTTACCTTCTATAGATACTATAATATAGACTAGAATTTAGTTTTATAAGATTTTATAATATATAAGCTTTAGATCCTAACTATATATAAGGACACTAGAATTTTAGGGCATATTAATATAATAATATAATAGTAAAGTAAGCTTTATTTAATATCCTTTTATTCTTTACTAATTAAAATAATAAAGTAAAAGTAAGGCGTATAGAAAAAGGGGCGTTAAAGTAATTAAATAAAACACTTTTCTAGCTAGCCCTAGGCCTATAAGTCTTTAATTTATAGTCTACCTAGTAGCCCTCTAGGTAACTCTAAGGACTTTAGCTTCTATAATACTAAAGATAATAAGTAATATAGTAAAGAAAACTCTATATTATCTTTAGGTGTTTTATAAAAGTAATCTAGAGGGAGAAGTAAATAAAGCTCTTAAAATCTATATCTAAATATAAGTTAAAGCTCCCCTTATCCTTAGATAAGTCTCTAATATTAAGTAACTAAAAACTAAGCGTAAATTAACTAGAGTATATTATACTTTAAGGAGTAGTAGCTTTAGAATAAGGAGTAATAGCTTTAGAATAAAAAATATTAAAAAGTAATTAAAAAAAAGAAGAAAAAGGATAAAATTACACTATAAAGAGAGGAAATATAGCTATAGAGAGATAAGCTATAGCTTAAGAGGGAAATAATAAAGCTATAGAGATTAAGAGAGGGGTAAAAGAGGAAGAGACTTTTTCTATAGCGTAGCCTAATAGGCTGTATTTACCTATTACTTATAAGGTAGACTTTATAAATTTCTAGGGAATTCTTTTTTTTATT